AGTTAATCCACGACTGTGAAACGGAATTTAACTCCGAGTTAAGGAATTTAACTCGGTAATAGACAATAATATACCACAGATGGATGCGTTCCTATTAAGGTAAGATCGAGTTAATCCACGACTGTGGAACCGGGTCCTGGTGACTAGAAACACTAACATCTAGAGAACTAGAGGCGGTCTCCTTTTCTCTAGATAATCCCCGCACCTCGTAGAATCGAGTGCCTTGTGAAATACAAGATAGGGTACGTACCAAGATACAAGATACAAGTGCCTGTGGTGGGCCAAAGTGGATTTGCGCCGTTTATCGTTACTCACTATAGCTCATAGGGTCTATGTCTCCCAGGGTACTGCCGGAACGTAACCTGGGTACGGTCCGGTATACCGGAACGTACCCTGGTCACTATTTCAAGTATTTGATATGGTTAGGGTTAGGGTTAGGATTAGGATTAGGGTTCGGGTTAGGGTTAGGGAGTATAGGCGTAGGCGACTCCCTAGGCTCGTTAGTGGAGTAGGTGAGGTACGGTCCGGCATATAATATAGTACCAGGGTACGTTTCGGTATACCGGACCGTACCCAGGGTACGTTCCGGCAGTACCCCGGGGGACATAGACCCTCTCAGCCTCACTATACTTAGACCAATAAATTGTGCCCTAACAATTTTTATATTCTGGTGTTATTTTAGGTAACACCAGAAACCTAAAATAACACCTAAAATAACACCAGAATAAAAAAAAATTTAGGGCACAATTTATTGGTCTACACTATACTGTGTAGCAAACCTCCCGTTTTCACAGACGACTTGTAAGGAGAGGTCATATTTGAATAATTGATGTTACTAAGTGATAATATTCTACGAATGAAATTGTATTCTATATCTAGACTATGTAATTATGAGTATGAGCCTACCTAACCATCTTTGGAGAGAACGATAAGATGGGATCTCTTAAACTGTTACGTGCATGTTAACAACTTAACTTTAGTAGGCTTGTTTGGCACTAGGTGGCGGTAGCTTACAGTGTAGTATCAGAGCATATAAATCAACACGTTTATTTATATGCTCTGGTAGTATGGATATCACCATAGAGCCTATATTGATGACTAACATTGACATCTACGCAAACCAGGGGCGTAAATCCGTACCGAGGAGTTGGGGGGGGGGATGATCGGCGATAGCCGGGGGCGAAATTAACCTTGGCTGCCGCAGGCAGGCCCGCGTGCCGTAGGCATGCCAGTGCTAGGGGGGTCTCACAATTTCACGTGTTTTTGTATGTTTGCAACAATACTTTTTGGCTATTCTTTTTTTTGAATCTCAGGGAGGATATTTGTACAGGCCACCCCCTCCCTCCTTCAAGAGCGAGGGATGCATCCTCCATCCCCCCCCCTGGATTTACGCCCCTGACGCAAACAGATATATGGCATCACGTCTTAATGACTTTACAGAATGTTCTAGGCTGGTTCAGCGTCTATGTCTTATAAATAATTGTTTATCAGTTTACATAGAGTAAAGGTACAAACTAATTAAGGATTATGGATAAACAAAATAGCTAGGACATTCACATGGGTAGACTGCGCGCCCTCCTGTCCTGGGGGGTCATTCTTTCCCATTATGGCGCTAACTAATCTCTTTAGCCTTGAGTAATAACTTCGTACGTTACCAACTAACGTACGTTCACTCTAGGAATCTTGCTGGCAACTTTACTACGCGGCCGTGACGGGTCTTGCCTGGACTGGAGACATGCATTATATCCTAGACTGCCTAGACTACGATATCTGTCCCGCTACTGGAATCCTTGGACGAGATGTCACCTTGAGCATTAGCTGGAGATATATTAGCTGCTTCACAGGAAGCCTGGTTGTACTCCTCATCGCACATCTTGACCATCCGTCCGATAGTTAGCTCACGCAGATGGCAGTGCGGTTTCGTCGTAGGCGTGTTCCATTTGGAGTCTCTACGACGTAACTTCGCGGTTGCTCGTGTCGTGTGACCACTTCCCCGGGACACAAGTTGTGTTGCATTTGTCTATAATCGGCACTCTCTGCCCCACGGGGAGCGGTGGTAGGTTAGGCGCGTCTGGAGTCTGCTGCCGCATTTTCTTATTTCGATTCTGCAGCTGCCTCCCTCTCACTGCTTGGTCCGGGCTCACCGTGGCTCGGTAACAGTGTGATGAGTGGACGGCCAAACATCAGCCTTTCTGGACAAATCTTGTATCTACAGGTATGGGCGGTAAATTTAGAAATGCCATTTGCAATCTTTCTCACATTCCAACGTCTTCTTTATGATAGGCTTCACATGGCGGATGTGACGCTCAATAAAGCCGTATCTCCGCCGGGTAGTGAGGTGAGCTTGTGACGTCATTAATGCTCCTGGACTTGACAAACTGTGTGAAGGCTTGCCCGTGTACTGTAGTCCATTTTCAGTCATGGCTCGTCTGCCGTGTTCAAACCGAGCACAGTAGGCTTTAATCTTGCTTGCCACTGCTTGGCTTGAAACGGGTGTGTGCATGACATCGACCAGTGGGTACTCTGTGTACCTATCCGCGACAATCAAGTACTGCTGCATTGTTAATCTCGAATAAATCTGATGCAATGAGCTGCCAGGATCTGGCTGGTGTTGCATGTGGTACAAGTGGCTCCCGCTTATTGGCATCTAGGTGTACCTAGCAAGCTTTGCACGCTCTGCACGTGTGCTCGATATCTTTTCGAATATATTCACGCACTAGACACTTTCTCCGTGCGAGGGCGTCGTGTCTTTCTCAACTCCTTGGCTGGCCTTATGAAGGCAGGGTTGCCGAAATTAACCGCGGGGTCCGCGAGTCAAATATCTCCTGCATTTTACTGCTCGAACTCTCCCTGATTTGACATAGCAAAGAGTCCGTGTGACTTCCTAAACATTCTGCCATACTAACTAGTTCGTTCCGTGAGCCAGCGCCTTGCCAAAATTACTGTATTTTTTCAGCTAATGTCCACACGGAAAATTTGGCAGACGTGCAACTGCATGAATCTTAAAAATAAAGCACATGCCGTTATTGTAATATCTTTAATTTTGAACGCTCAGAACTCCGGACCCCTCATTTTGCTTGCGGACTCCCTGTTTTTGAGGGTAGGGTCCGTTGGACTCCCTTGTTCAAAAGTTCATTCCTACCCTGTGAAGGTATTGTATAATAGTATATGTCTATGGTCACACCCTAACGATCATATATTGCTTGGACATTTTACCGTAAAGTTATCGACACTGACATAGACACCAACAAAGTACGCGTCGCGAATTGACTCTAAACTCATTTTATACTTTATCACTGTTTTGGTTGCAGTCCAACTCCAGTGAAAGCAACTCGTGCGTCAGGTCCCTCTGCGTCAGGACCACAGCTTTAGAGACGTACGTTATGCGGTAATGGCACAGACAGATAACGAACCGCACAGACCCCATCGACATTGATTCATCGCCCCGTCGCAGCTCATAATGCGGTCGCGCGCTCTAAACTCACATACTTACGCACATGGAAGAAGAGAATAAGAGTCCACTTGCAGCGACCCCACTGAGGTGGGACTAATAATGCGAAAATGCACATTACAAAGACGAGAAGAATAAGAAGAAAAAGAGAAGGAAAGAAAGAAGAAGAAGAAGAGAAGAAGAAGAAGTAGGAAGAAGAGAAGTAGTGAATGTTACGGGCGCGTAATCTACGGCGTGCGATGTGAGCATAGTAATATATAGACATACCGTTGAGACATAGACTAAGATAGAGACATAGACTAACTATAGTATATTATTTCTATTGGTGTGAGTCACTGGTCTGAGACACGGATGCGGCGTGGTTATGTAATATAGATATCCGGTAGAGCTAGCGATCGCGCCCCGTGTCGCTGTCTTGAAAATATTGATCCTGCAATCTCGTCAGATTCTCAGATTAATAATTTAGACATCATTAATAGACAATAATATACAACAATGTAACTCCTTTTTCTAATGCTTTGGATGAGTCCCATCATTGTAATCTGTATTGAATAAAGACTGATTTACGAAATAGAACGTGTGTTCTCATCTGTGATGGGACTCACTTGACTGGTTAAAGCCGCTTCTACCGCTTGACAACTCCCTAAACTCACAACACGAAGCCGGTTATTGACTGCCCCGATCGACCGAGTGCGAATACGCCACCCCGGACGTCGACGCGATCGTTGCAGCAGCTCTCATAAGCGACTCACGCCACCATCCATAACGCGACCACACACCAGTGTCCCCACTGCAAAGGTAAGAAAGGTGTGAAACGCCGCGCACCAGCGAAGACTGGTCCTACTTCAGATCGTAATGGAATGACTTATGTCGAGCGACTAAAGTGTCAGGCAAAGACACGGTGATCTAATTACTAGAGTGTTGTGATGGAACACTTAAGGAAATACCTCACACGCAATGCCGGTGGCAGGGCCGTTGGCAAACAAATCTAAAAGCGACGCATTGAAAGACATATAAACACTCGCTTGTAAGGGCAAGAAAAAATACCATGTTTGCACGGGTTACTCTGCATAACATGCACCAGGACCGCGACGAAAGCAATCCGTTCATTCGGCGCTCGCCTCCGTGGTCAGATGGGGTATGCAAGTTCATCATAACGTGTCCTGGTTGTTCAGACGACGTGAACTACACAGCTAGAGGCTGTACTCCGTGATGTGTTGACACGAGCCTGGAGGACACCGAAATACAACTTGACCTACTCGGGAAAAGATCCAGGAAATGCACCCTTGAAGAATTGTTTCAATTGTTTGCAGGCGAAAGATCGGGCAAACGCTCCCGCCTCGCGTCTCATCGACCCACACACTAATGGTGCCGAAGCAGTCAGCAGCTCTTATAAACGTAGCCACGAACAATTTCTAAAAGATCGCAGTAGGTATGACAATACGAAAATTGACAAGTCAGAATTGTGCTCATACTGCGGTAAAAAGGCCACGGAGTCCGTAACCTCGCCAAGGTTAGACAGAAGGAATCCCTGCGTATGGCCACACATGCCAACACTGTGACAAGAACCACCACTTTGACAGCATGTGCAGAGGCAGGAACAAGGCTAAGTACAAGACAATGGCAAAGTAATTGATGAGCACGAAGTGCGCGTGTTCGACCAATTGTGCTCAATCACTACTCCTGCTCGACGCAACGGTGGAAATAAAACTCTCGACCACCACCTTTACAACCAACTATCAGATATTTGGATAAAGCGGGCAAAGTCCAAACCTCAGGCCGTTCGTTAACCTCACAGTGGGAGCACACCCTGAAGATTACAAACGTCTTGATCTCAAGCCTCACATTCCACACCCAGGTCAGTCGTCATTTCCTTCAATGGCTGACACTGGTTGCTAAAGTTGCCTGGCGAGTATCAAGATATCAATCGGCTCGGTCTAAGTAACACCGACCTCATCCCAGTGACATTGCAGATGCATGCAGCCCAACAACAAAGGCATCAACATCTCGGGCGCATCAATCCTACGTTTTTCTGGCAAGGACACATCTGGCAATACGCTTGTGACACGCCAAGTCACGTACATCACTGCTAACTCAGACTAACTCTTATCAGCAGAGAAGCTTTCATTTCGCCTGGGCATGATCAGAGTCACATTCCCAACCGTAGGTGAAACCAACAAAGATCAGGGCGGCACATTCTGGTAGTGATGAACTACCTAGCTCGCGACGCGAAATGACAGCGAGCCTAGCGACCGAGTGTGAATGCTCCTCGACGCCAGCTGCCGTCCCACCACCGTCCGAGGCTACCGATTTCCAGCAACTGAAGACCATCGAGAGAAGCTGAGACAATACCTTCTTGATCGTTACGAATCTAGCACATTCAACACGTGCGAACAAACCACTGCGATGATGGAAGGCCCCGCTACATCTAATGGTGGACCCAGATGCCGAACCCGTAGCAGTACATTCTCCCGTGCCTGTACCCATCCATTGGCGAGACGACGTGAAAGCTGCGATTGGACAGTGACGTACGGCTTGGCGTACTAGAACCAGTACCAGTAGGTGAACCAGTGACATGGTGGCCACCGCCATGGTCGTTGTGCGAAGAAAAACGGCAAGCCGAGACGGACAATTGACATGCAACCACTTAACACGCATGCAACACGTGAACACCCACCACACCACAGTCACCATTCCACCAAGCGCGGTCGGTGGCCACATGGGACGGGATAAAAAACTGTTTTCGACGCGTGGAACGGCTACCACAGTGTACCACTCCGGGAGAAAGATAATCAACATTACCACCTCATCCACACCTTGGGAAGATACCGTTATCGCACAGTCTCACAGGACTACATTGCATCAGGCGACGGCTACCTCCAGAAGATTTGACGAGATTGTCTCGGATGTCCCCAACAAAACCAAATGACACACAGCACACGACAACGACATGCGTCAGACGACGACCTGCTTGGCAGACATCGCCGGCGACTATGATATGACAAAATAGTGTCGTATTTGCTGACAGCCACATCATAAACTGTACTTGTTAATTTTTAACGTTAATTTCTTATGAACAAGTGCTCCTAATCAAACATTGAGTTATTCACCATAAGTATGGTAAAATACATCAGTCTAAAGATTTATGCTTTCGTTTCATGTGTTACTTTTAATCAGTCAGTCATTGGCATCTCTCTCTAAATACAGACATACCAAAGACTTGGGGGAGATAGACAATAATATACCACAATGTAACTCTTTTTTTTTATCTATTGGTTTCAGATTGAGTCCCATCGTTTGTAATCTGTATTAAATAAAGACTGATTTACGAAATGGACCTGTTCCTATCTAATTAATAATTGAATAGAAAAACATGCAGTCAGTAAAATTAAAATTTACTGAATGCCTAGCATATATGTCTTACGACGACGATTTTTAGCGACGGTTTGCACACGCACGCATGCACACACACACACACACACACACACACACACACACACACACACACACACACACACACACACACACACACACACGCACGTACGCACGCACACACACACACACGCACGTACGCACGCACACACACACACGCGCGCGCGCACGAAGTTTGTCGAACGATCCCGAGCAGGAGTTGTCGACTGGCATCGCTGAAGTGAAGAAAATCTGCTACTACAGAATTTTAAATATTGTATCGAGCCATTCCGGTAAACCGAATATGTAGGTATATGCTGGAAAAAATGCTTAGAATCTCTACCACTGCAATCATGTATTTTTTGCATGTTATTGATCCACCTGTAATTGTAGCGTCCGGTATATCTCTCTCTCTCTAGACAAGTTACTCTCGATTTTCTAGCACATTTATTAACACCGTACAACATTCGACAAACGCTAGACTGAATAATTGTAAGTACGCGTCATGTCTTGACGACGACGTCAGCCATCTTGTTTTCTGCTCTGCGGTAAGATCCACTTTCTAGTTTTCGCACTCGCGTAACTATTGTAAAACTAGAAGAGCAGTGATATCATTGTAGATCAATGCAGAACTCGCGATAGAATAAATCGTGAATCTTTCGCACTTATCATCGTTTGTTTTACTCACCTGTGATCACCTCCACCAGATTTAACTTGTTTTATGTGTGCGCAACACATAGAAGTGTTAAATAATAAAACGACAGTATTCTTTAAAAATTTAGAAGATTTATATTATTAAAATATGATCACGTAATATAAAAAACACATGTCTGTCATACTAGTATTACGAGTTCCACACTCTTACCAATCAATGAACGAGCATGCATAAGGATTCCATTTCTAAATTGAATGTGAAGAAAAATTACAGAATTAGGTAATTGATTTTTGTATATTTGTATATTGATTATTGATTTATTGTAATTGCTCGATAAACAGATTGCGATTTTTAATAATCTAATATTCGTCTCCTTCGTCTTCTTCATCGAAGGAATCTGTGCCCACCTCCTCGTAGTCCTTCTCCAGCGCCGCCAGATCCTCTCTCGCCTCGGAGAACTCTCCCTCCTCCATGCCCTCCCCGACGTACCAGTGCACGAAGGCGCGCTTCGCATACATCAGGTCGAACTTGTGGTTAAGACGCGCCCAGGCTTCAGCGATTGCGGTGGTGTTGCTCAGCATGCAGACAGCACGAGGGACTTTAGCGAGGTCCCCGCCCGGGACAACGGTGGGTGGTTGATAGTTTATGCCGACCTTGAAGCCGGTCGGACACCAGTCAACAAATTGGATCGAGCGTTTCATCTTGATGGCTGCGATGGCTGATTGGACATCCTTGGGGACGACGTCGCCGCGGTAGAGCAGGCAGCAGGCCATGTACTTGCCGTGGCGCGGGTCGCACTTCACCATCTGGTTGTTGGGCTCGAAGCAGGCGTTCGTGATCTCGGAGACAGACAGCTGCTCATGGTAAGCCTTCTCGGCAGAAATAATTGGAGCGTAGGTTGCCAGCGGAAAGTGGATGCGAGGATACGGCACCAAGTTAGTCTGGAACTCCGTCAGGTCAACATTGAGGGCACCATCAAAGCGCAGGGAGGCAGTGATGGAGGATACGATCTGTCCGATGAGACGGTTGAGGTTCGTGTACGTCGGACGCGAGATGTCTAAGTTGCGCTTGCAGATGTCATATATGGCTTCGTTGTCTACCATGAAGGCGCAGTCGGAGTGTTCCAGTGTAGTGTGGGTGGTCAGGATGGAGTTGTATGGCTCAACCACAGCCGTTGCCACCTGTGAACGTATGCACACTTACACTTACATTTCTTACATCCGTTACACATGTAATAATCGCTCGTTGCAGTAAAACATATTTAAAAGTGTATGACATATAAAATTACACGTATTCGAACCAATTTACAAACTGAAAACGAGATATCAGCTTTCGAAAACCAAGAGAATAAGTATCAATGAGCACAGGAAAATGGACGTTGATGATGTTTACAATCATACATGATAAATTAAAGTTGAAAGAATATAAGAATATAGTATATAGAGAAAACAATGTGATTCCTAAATGACGATACTGATGCACCACTTCTGTCAACCGCATTATCTTAAGTTACTTTGCCCGTGACTGCACGGGTACTTCGTGCGTAAGCAGTGGACAGGTAGGTACCTGTGGCGCGGGATAGATGGAGAACTCCAGCTTAGATTTCTTGCCGTAGTCGACAGAGAGACGTTCCATGAGGAGAGAGGTGAAGCCGGATCCGGTTCCTCCTCCGAAGCTGTGGAAAACTAGGAATCCCTGCAGGCCTGAGCATTGGTCCGTCTGTAAGAAACACATGTAAACAAACATACAGGTTGCAATCTATACAGGTAGGTTATAGCCAACTATATAGGTGCATGGCAATCTATACAGGTAGGTTATAGCCAGCGATATAGGTGGGTCATAGCAAACGATATAGGTATAGGCTATAGCCAACGATATAGGTGGGTCATGGCAGGAGATATTATCAAGAGCGTATAAAGAAGGAAAGCGTACAACAGTGAAATGCTGAAACCATGTTGCAGTATTAGTCAAATTAATAAGTTTTTTCCGTTTTATTTTAACGAATCTTTGCGGTATTATTGATCAGCTGTCCTACCTTGTTAATATAAAACAAACCGCATGTCCCTACGATGCCCCTACGCTGAGATCATGAGTGGTGAAAATCTGGTATTTTTGCCGAAAACCGACTCGAGATCCGAAGGAATCGTCAAAATAAATCGGGCAATGTTTCTTAATTCGACTAATACTGCAACATGGTTTCACCATTTCACCGTGTTATCTTTTCTTTTTCCTCTGCCGCGCGCACTACTCTTCTATGCGCAGCCAGTGCTCCATATTTGGCCATCTTCAATATCATTTCAGTTACACTTGCATCAGTTTCACTGGATATTATGTGGGTTGTGGCAAGCTATATAGGTGGGTTCTAGTAAACTATATACTATAGTTAGGTTATAGTATACTATATAGATAGGTTATAGCATTCTATATAGGTATGATCATCGTTATCGTCGTCGTCATCATCGTCGTCGTCATCGTCATCGTTATTGTCAACGTCATCGTCATTGTAATAATCATCATCATCGTCATAATCATCATATGTTAGAACCCCAGTTTTTTTTTTTTAATGTACTTGTCCTGGAAGTATGGCATACATTCATCGTTTACACCTCCACTTCTAAACAACACGCTGAATTACTTTTCCATCGTTACGCTACTATACGTGTCACTAGGTGGCGCGCGCGTGTACGTACCAACTTGCGGATGCGGTCCAGTACGACATCAATAACTTCCTTGCCGATTGTGTAGTGACCGCGAGCATAGTTGTTGGCTGCATCTTCCTTACCCGTGATCAGCTGCTCTGGATGAAACAGCTGTCTGTATGGACCGTGTCTCACCTCGTCTGTAATAGAGAGAAGTATCGTTGTTACTCACCGGGTGACGCCACCGTCGCGCGCCGAGTAGTCGTTCTGGGGCTCGTTGTCAAAATCAAAATTGGTATAGTCTTAACATCAGTCTTAATATTAGTCTTAACATTAACATTTTCTCGTAGACCGGACCTCTATATACTGCGTATGAGAAACTCGCATTTTACTGGCAGTTCTAGCCAATCAGCGTGGAGCTAGAGCGGTCAAAAAACAATTATAATCAATCGAACGCCACAAGGGCGACATTTATTGGATATTCTATGATCTCTTGACGTGATGCGACCATAATGCCGAGACGCGCCGAGGATTGACACTTTGTGTCTTCCAATCACAGCCTACGCCGCACCAGTCTTTTATATTTTTATAGGTGGGGACCCATTGGACCACTAAATCGCCGATCTCATGCAGAAACTAGGGCATGCTGCTATGTTAGAACGGTTTCCTACGATAGAGTTTGCCACAAATACGAAAATAACACGCTGTTTAGCGCACGGCGCTATACGTCCTTCTGTTGCATTTTCGCATCTCCGTAATCAGAATAAGCCCCGCCGTTTTCGTTGATGACACGAATGGGGCGTCACCGACGTGACCAGTTACTGTACCCACTGTCTTTCGCCAGCCTGTTTACTTTTCGTAAATAATGAAATGCCCGGCCGATGCATTTCGCATCGAAGTGGAAAATTTTCGGCATTTTCATTCGCTGTCGGAAGTGAACGAGTGCGTCATTCATTGAACATTAAAGTTTTTCTTCAAATTAAATAATAACCGAAAATCCCTAACCGCCCTACTCGATTGTTTTAGCCAATGAACGTAGCTGTGTGTGTGACGTCTTGCCCGCGTGCTTTATGCTTGGCTAAGCGGGCCTCGAAATGGATATCGGAGGCAGGCACCTCGCAACACGCGTGTTTGTTTACATATAGCTTTGTGACGTACGGTGTTTGGGAGTTCTGCGAGGATAACCTCGTAATTTCTCAGAATTTCTTAGGTGCATGGAACATTTTACTAATTTAGTGGTGTCAGTTAGTCACGGATATGTCACAGTAAGTACTAACCGGTCCGTATATGTTTCACATTCGTTCACCTATTTTGCACACAGCTAGGCGGTCGATCATTGTGAAAAATTGTGCGAATATTTATTTTTATTGAGACGTTCCAAGTGCCTGTGCTTTCAACAGTCTTGTACGTCAATGCACGTGCGTCAAGAGCCACAAACTCAACACAATTTCATCTCTGTTATTGCTGACGCCTGAATGCGTGATTGATCAGGGAGGGGTGCATGTAAGAGGGAGACATTTTTTGGGGGTTCCGAAAAACACAATTCCACTTGACAATTTCATGGGCCATTTCAATTGGAAGCGCTGCATAATGGACCCCCAACAAGCCCTTTGACTGACTAGTCAAGAAATTCAAAAGTGTGTATATTGCTC